AACATACCACGTGACACACAAAAATTGATGTTTAGCTGTGTTTTTTTAATATTTACTTTTAAATTAACAAATTGAATAATATATAGTTCTACAATTTGAATTATAATCTACAGTTTGATACCAAACTTATTGACATAAATTCATGAAGTAGTACTACGAGATGACATGGCCTTTCACCTGTGACCTGTATTGAAAAGATTAATCGGTGGCCAGACCTAACTGGGGTTCCATTAATTTTCTTAAGATGATATTGTAGCTGCTATGGCTAGCTGACAACACTCTTGCACCCGTTGAGCAATCAGGGAGAATGAAGACTGCTGCCTATCTTGCTGATATGGGCAGTCCATTTCGAAGTGACTTCTCAGTACATACGCAAAACATATACTTCTATCCTCTCTTTCAGAATGACATCTAGAAGCATCAATGGCTCATACTGCAACACAACTGCCATGGGAATGTCAGGAAAGCTCGGCCTACTCATCAACATCCAGGAAGACTGTGTTGAAGTGATTAATTCTTGGAGAACCATGAGCTTGGTGTGATGCAGACACTTTAGGAGAGTTTTGCAGATGAGGTATAACTGCTTTCACTGCAGGCTTTCTCTTCTGGCTTATTCAAACCTTGTTGCCATGGAAACTACTTCTGTCAGAATAAAACCTTTCTCTCACCCAGGTTTTGCTTTTTTTTTTTTACTACAACTCCACAACTAATGAGTCTGCAGAGATATACTCATTGTTTACTGGTATCATTGTGGGATATGCCTTCCTTTGTAAATTGTGTACATCATTTGAGTAAGAGGTCAAGCTCTCAGTGATACCCCTCTTTTCAGTCTTTAATTTTGCTTATTGGTTAGTTCCATTCTCCACTGAGTTGGGGTTTAAATGCCATTGCAACTTAGTGACAGTCATATCCCACTTGTAGAGGTACTCTTCACTCAAGTTCTCCATTGAGTCAAGTGCTGAACCATCTTAACTCAAGATCATCCAGAATTCAAAGTAGTAACCTGCTAGAAACACTTCAAGAAACAGTCCAGTTCTTCAATGTCCGAAGAAAAAATCTGTTTATTCTCACCTACAGTGATCTGTGGTTGTGGCATAAACCTTTTTTCAGCAGAACTCTCAGCCAACACAAGGCTACAACATCCAGGACATTGTAGGTGTGCTCAAGTAACCCCATGCTTGGATGAACATTGAATTCCTGTTTGTATGGTAGAATGATAAGTTACCATAGTCAGCTTAATATGAGATTTTTCCACAATCATGTTCACACTGACAGCAAGTCTTCCATCACACAGAAGTTTGCAACTACCCAATGAGTCACCATCTTTTGTCTAATTGGTGCCTACTGTCTCTCCTGCTGGTTAAACAGCTTGGTCTGGTAGATGTCATCCACTAGCAGCACATCCAATCTCTTTCAGCTGGTCTTGGGTGACATTAACCAGAGTCAGAGTTGAAGTATCCTAGTCAGTGAATGTTTAGAAGTCACTTAGGTACCACTCCATTCTGTCTCAGAATCACCAGAGACCATGTGTCACCATGACAACTCTGTCTTCTGTGCACTGAGAGCAATTATCAGGGAGAAAATAATTCTGGGTGCACTAGATGCTAGCAGTTTTCCCTCTTGAGTCTGCAGCAGAAGCTTGAATGTAGCCAGGAGAGGAATTCTCCAAGACCTGAACAGTATCTCATACAGTTGTTTACCTTCAATGGTGGACTTTTCTTTTTTTGTAATTTCTTCTAATTGGGAAAGATACCATTTCCTCATTTGAAGATATAAACTTAAAAGTGTAAGAGTCAAGAAGTGCACAGGGAAATGCACTCATCAAGAAAACATAACTCTGCAATTACATATCCTGTGGTCACAGCATTGAAATTTCACCTTACTCTGTGATATTCTCAGGTAAACTTGAGTTACCTTTCACACAGAACCCTGCAGATAACAGGAGGTTATAACAGAAAATGTGTTACAAAGTCTGAATCCTCTAACTGAATAATTGAAATTAAAAGTAATTTCTACTCAAATCAATCTGAGAAAAGTAAACAGAATGTAAGATAAATCTACTGAATATATCTGGGCATAATTTGTCTAGTGGTTATGTGTTTATGTAAGATAATTTCCAAAGTACAAGATCACAGCACTATATACATAATTCCATAAAACCATCCTTTTCAGTGTGCATGCATTACCCAAGTCACTGATGGTTATTCAAATAGAAAAATAAGGGATGATATATCCTCAATGTATTGCATATCCAGCAGTGAAAAAGATCATTGTCCACCTTTAAAAGTGTATTCTATTTTACAGCAGTCTTTCATACTAGGAAATGCATGTGATACCACAGGGGGTGTCCCAGGATAACAGGTAACTAAAGTAAAAGAAACATAGCCTCATTCCTTGACCAACTTTCTGTAGTTGCAACAATACACAGCTAGTAAATTTTTGATAATTCTGTGTGAGCTGCAGATATTCAATGCACTAAATAGAAAAAGCTAGAAATACTCTAGCAATTAAACAATGATGTTCTTACCTCTAATATTTGAATATGCAACTTCACCCTAAAGTATAATGTTGGAGGGTTTTGGCTACTTTCTTTGGAAATATATGACATGCCCTCTTATAGTGTAAGAATATTATATAAAAATGAGACTGCTTTAGAAGTGATAGTTGGGAAGAAGCTTGAAGCCTGATTATTAAGGTGTGGTTAAAAAAGTAGTATTTAAGACTTTTCTGAAAGAATAAAATTTGAATTTAAGAATAAGAAAGCTATTGTAACCTTGTATAAGACTGGTAAGGCCTCATTTAGAATACAATACTCTGTGCAATTTTGACCCTTTTGTTACAATAAAGATCCAATGTTAACATGCTGGATAGAGATAAATTGTCGGAATGAAACCTTGTTTCAGAGGCATAAATTTGGTTCCAAAAGTGAGAGGGTGATGGTGGTTGCTATATGCTCTGCAGAAACAAGCTTTTATGTATCTGTACTATTGTTGAGATGTGAGGTGCAATCCACAGTTAAGGAAATAGTGAGATATTCCTCTAATTAAAGTGAACCTCGTTATTCAAGAACTTTGCAAAAAGAGGATTCAAACTTGTTTACTCTTAAAGTATAGAATTGAATGCTGCTAAATGCAGGTGTTTAACTCTCATTTTACCAGTTGTTTTATACAGTTTACTACCAATGAGATATGCTTATTAAATTAAACTGAGTAATTTTGTTTTTATCTGGTACAACACTTAGCTTAAATAACTGATAAAAGAAAACAAAGTAAAAATTGCTCATGTTATATGAAATTCATAAAGCTGGCACTCCAGCAGTAATTAACAGGACTAATTGTCATATTAATAATATTTTAAAAACTTTTCTGTAACTCGTATGTTGTTATGGACCTTGCAACCAACAAAGAGACCCACAATCAGTTTGGTCCATAAAAAGGTTTGAAAAGCTGATGGACTTGGTATTTCTAGGGTTAGGGCTATTAGTGACTTAATCTACCTATGAATGATCTGTTTGAGTGATGGAATGAAAATGGAGAAAAAAACAGTCTTTGTATTAGTTGTTTCAAGTTCTAGAAGCTCAAATATGGACTTGTTTTGTGTTTTTTCAGAGGTATAAAATTATGCATGGTGCTGATGTTAGCTGATTGTTTTAAACATATTTTGTTAGATATATGTATTTGAATAGATAAATTTAGTTTTAGGTTTTGCTGGTATGTATGCTATTGTATATTTGTTTTGGTAGGTTAAGTGGTGACTTCACTGGTCCAAACGGCCTTTTCTTACTTTCAACTTTCTTGTAGTATAAATGGAATATTGCTGCATGTGTAAGAACGTTTCAATTTAACGTATTTAATTATGATTTGTATGTGTTTGATCCATGAGTATTGAAACTGGATTTATAGGGTTCCATGTGCTTTTTTCTTTCTATGAAACTCTAATTATGTTACTACATTTATGAGAAAGTGTTGATGCTAATTTAAACAGATTTGCTGTCTTTATATTTAAGTTATGGTATATATACTTTTTCCTTTACGTAACAGAATTTGTATCAACATCTTGGAATTACAACTTTTTTTTTTTTTATTCTAATTACCTAGTAATCACCATATTGGTTTCTATCTATCTGCAACTATTCTCTCCCTTTTATTTGCCGGGCTTGTATACTAAAATAGAGGGCGTCTAGAAAAGACTAGAGTTGCCAGGAAAAGTCAAGATCCTTCGAGAATCTTGTGATGTGTTACCAGCGTCATGTGACTTCCGCTGTCATAACAATATATAATTTCCAAAGCTCTTCGTTCTATTCACACATTCTGTTTAGTTGCCTGGTAGCAGTATATCATATAAGCTAATCAAAAATGCGTTAAGTGTCAAAAAAAGGTGTGGCCAAAAAAGGATTGAGTACGTGTGACTCAAAAGAACAGAATCAAATTTGTTGGCCAAACTTTTAGCTTCACTTACAGCATTGATAAGAATTTTACAGCATACATTTATTAGTTATCTAGGCTGCATATTTTATTTTATCCACCATCATGCCCAAAGTTGAACAACAAATGCACCCTGGCTAGCTAATGAATGAATATTTGCTGTAAAATTCTTATCAATGCTATAAGTGTTAGCTATCACTTTGGCTGCTAATTTTGATTTCATTCCTTTAAGTCACACACTTAATCCTTTTTTGGGTGCATCTTTTTTTTACACCCAAGATGTTTTTGATTAGATATCATAACTTTTGGTAAATACACACCAACAAACCACAGCAAGTAAGAAAGTGACACTCGGTAATAACCAACATTAGCTTTAGGATCACAACCCTATTATTCGGAACAAACCTATACTTTACAGAACCAACCAGGCTATTTACAATATATGGTTGTAATTTTCTTCTCTAAAAGTGTTAACTTCCTTTATAGTAATGCCATGGAAACTAGATTAACAGTTTCTTGTTATCATCCACATGCACTCGGTACAGCCATATCAAGCATATTTATTTATGCTAATTGCTTAAGCTAATATTGAGTAATGCTCTTTAATTAGGAGAATTTCATAAAACTTAGTAAATTTGTGCGCAAAAGTTGACAATGAATAATAACTGTCCACCCGTATGATTCTTTTAAAAACTTGAGCTAGAAACTGCTAATCCAGTTGGCTTGGTCTAACCAATACTTGTGTACCTGGATGTGTTTTCACCCTGAAGTTTTGCTTCTCTAAGTTGGCTGTCTTTAATCTGAATGACAAGAAACTAAAAACTAATTTTACTCTTAGATGAAGCTGTAGCAAAACATTTAGACTGATAGCTCACGTGACTTTTTGCACAGCTATGTGTAAAATTTTTGTTAAAATTGAGAGGTTTTTGTTGAATAACTTTTCACATATGACTTATATTTAGACTAAATTGGATACCTAATTATAGGTTGTAAAGACCTATCAGTGTAACAGATTTGAAAAAATTCCATGAAAGTTAAATGTCTTTCTTTCAAATATAGTTTCTGTACTTTTGGTACAAAGAGAAAAAAAAGGAAGATATTCAATCAAAAATTGGAGATGTTATGTCCCGTTTATTTTTTAATGGATAACCTTGTTCAGTAGAGTACATCCACTGAAAGTATGTGATAGTTTGGATTACCACAGTCTGATCTACAGTAAGTGGAAAATTGCTAAACTATCTCTCCTGTTATTAACACAGTGTGTCCTACAGGTTGATTTTGGCTATGTATGAATACCTTAAACATGTACACTATTAAATGTTTTTACACAACTTCCAAAATAATGGCTATTGATTAGTATGTAACTTAACCTTGTAATTTTAGGGAATATGTGATGTTTCTGATGCTATGTGTTTCTTAATTATTATTTTTCTATAGATAGAGCATATGATGGCTTTCATTGAACAGGAAGCAAATGAGAAGGCAGAAGAAATAGATGCAAAGGTATAGTATAGTAAAGTAGTAATAAATTTTGCCAATAACATAAAGTACTTTAGGTGTCTTTATAACATGATACACCATCACAGTTAATTAACAATTATTATTATTCAGTGGACTAACTGGTAACTTGTGTATTTGTGAATTTCTTTTTTGCACCAAAATGTTAAGTTCAATGAAAAAAAAGATGATTAGAGTCTTAATCTATTCTTTGATTTGCTGCAGCAGGCTAGTTTTGTTGGATTCATAGCTCGTTGGTGCTACTTTGAAGAGCAAAGCAAGTAGATTTGATACAATAATACTATATTATCTGAATACACTTTCTAGTTTTATTCCTATTCATTTCCTACTGGTTCTCAAACTCTGTAATATAAAGTTTTATTTTGCAAAATTAGTAGACTTTATTCTAATTTTTATGGGATTTGAATTTAAACTTAAGCTACTTGCAAAATATTCAGAATACTAGGTATTTACTTTGGTTAATTATGAATTTACCTAAAAAATAAAATGAGTTATTGTTATTATTATTATTACTGTTTCCCTTGATTGGTACAAAGCATTTAAGTAGCTTTATAGTTATAAGACACTTAATGCTCCAGTATTGTCATAAACATACTTATAAACATATAAAATAATACTAAAATGTCTGAAAAGAGTACATAGTATTGTTGCAACAGGTGGCCGATCTTGTGTATAATGTGATCCATGGTGTCTGTCTGAAATGCTCAGCAATTACTTTTCATGGTGGGTGGTATAAATATGTCAGAACTTTGGCTCTGAGTGAAACGAGTACAACACAGATAATCTTTTTAAAGTCCATAAATTAACTTAAACTTTTCCTGTCACTGAGAACAGGTACTTTTGCTAGATTAACTTAAACTTTTCCCTTCATTAGGGACAGGAACTTCTGTTTGAAAGTTAATCTTTTGCTCTTTCTAAATTTTCAACAATCCACATGCTTAACATATAGCTTCGAGATGTCCACTATCCCATATATCACTGAACATGTGCATGATGTTTGGGTACTACTGTATATGATACATTAATGTTTGCATGTTAACTTAGTTAGTGTAAAATAATGTTAAATTGAAAATTAATGATTTTAATATTATATATATATATAAAGGTGGTTACAGTTGAAAACATCTTAGAAGATGCGTTTAAAAATAATATTTTAAAGGCTAATGTGACCTCTGATAATATATTTACGTCTGTAACTTACCAAATAAAAGGTATATTTTTATTGGTTGTGCATATTTATGCTTATGCAGGATATATTTCAAGTGCAACACTGCTGTTTTAGTCTTATAATGGTGATGACACAGTAATTTAAAAGTTGTATTAAAAGTAATTTAAAAAAGAACTTTTCCGATGGTCAAAGTAAAAGAATAAAACTTGTTGTTCTGGGCAATATGAAGTGACAACTCTCATTTGAAGACTGGTATTGATGTGTAAAGAGCAACTAAAAAACAATTTAACTTCAAATTTTTGAAAATTTGAGATTATTAAAAATTCTCATATTGAGGGATCATAGATGTTTTTGGGGCTTTCAAATTTGGCTGTTTAAATGTACTTGAAAATTGATAAAAAAAATTTCATTTTGATGCTGTTTTCCATGTGTTTTCACAGATAATATACTGCTTAAACTTAATGCATTTGGCAAGTTTGATGCTTTACGTTTTAGGCATAGTAATAAAAATATTTTAATGGAAACATTATTGCTAACATTCATATAACTATCTATAGACCTCTATTTCAACTAAAAAAGCATATGACATCAGCTGAAACTTATAATATTATGCAATCAGTTTATGTATTGTAATATAATTATTTGAAAATCACTTTAAAAGCAATAATTAACAGTTATGATCTACTCCTACCACTGTGTAACTTGGAAGAATAATATATACATTTTTATATGAGCATCAAGCTGAAAGTGTGTTAAAAGGAATGTGTGATTTAGATGTATTTTGATGTAATAGGTCTTGTAAAGGTATACAGAAATGAATAAAAATATTGTCTAATCACTAATACAACAAACAGATTGTCCATTTTAACATCTTTCAATTGTAAGCTACCTGCTATACATTTATTGATTAGACTATGCATAGAGGTAAAAAGTCAGTATTCATTAAATTGACTAAACTATTTCTTCCAAGAAACATGTATATTAAGAGCATATATCCACAAATTCTTCAAATATCAAGTTCATATTTTAGCAAGAAATCTGAAATCAGTATAATGTGGTGTTAAAAAGTTTGCAACATCAATCAGTACCTGATCATTTTAAGAAAACAAATGTTTTGTTTTGATCACTGTAATAATATTTTGAATAAAATCACAGAACTTCCAGTACTGCTTTGATCATTTTTAGGCAGAGGAAGAATTTAATATTGAAAAGGGTCGTCTTGTTCAAGATCAGCGAGTTAAAATAATGCAGTACTATGAGAAGAAGGAAAAGCAAATAGAACTACAGAAGAAAATGTAAGCTATAGGAAGGTGAAATGTTTCACGCTGTTTTGGCATTTATTAAATAACTGATTATATTCCATAAATATTAAAAATAGATGGTATATCCGTACTTCTAAGAATGGTTTATGTTGTGAAACTGTGCCTTAATGATCGTTATGTATGCAATACTTAGTTTTTAGTGTTGCTTTGCTTACAGTACTAATATCTTTAAAAGAAATATAGTATTTGTGAAAAGCAATTTTCAAACAATAGTTTGTTTGTTCATAAGCTCATTTAAAAACAGTGTTCTTTATGCATTATTGTCAGCAATGATTTTAACAAATAATTTGTTACCTCTGCTACTAAAGGTGGACAGATGTTTTCACCACTATGTGTTTGTCAAGATTTCTCAAATGGCCGAATGGATTTGGATGAAAGTTGGTATATATTTGGAATATGACCCAACTTAGAAGTGATTAGTTTTTGGAGGGTCAAGGTCATGAAAAAAAACCCTACCTGTTAACATGTGACTGATTTTCACACTATTTTTGGTCTTTAATTCAGTCAAAAATGATTGAATTTTGATCAAACTTGGTGGACATACGTAGAATATTATTCCTCATTGTCTTACCAAAAATGGTCCATGTTTGTTGATAACAACAGACATACGGACACATTTTTGTATTTTTTGAGAGCCAAATATGATCAATGCTGTATGGTGGAGGTATGTGCTCTACTGAGCATACATACTTTAGTTTTTTTATTTATTTACTTGCATTTATTTCATAAGTATTATAGTTTGTCATAATTTTATGCTTGTAGTCATGATGTGAATGATAGAGGAATAGTAAATATTATATTATTTGTAACATTTAAGTATGAGATGTGTTTTTATTTACTTTGTTTTCTTTGGCATTTTTAATTTAAAACTGAGCCATAAGTTAGAATACCACAACCTCTTGTTGATTGGTTCTGTCAGATTTTAACACAAGTTTATTAGCAAGATCACCTTAGAACTCCAGTTTATTTACTGCTGTTTACTTCTTGCCATATGTGCATGTTATGTCACCAGGTGTTAGAAACTGAATATATCTGATCACGTTTTTTCATAAATATTGAGAACGTATGATTGTCACCTATGTGCATAAATATTTCAAAGTTGTGCATCTATTATAGTTGTATGTTTTATACAAAAAGTGTGACAAGATAAAAGTTTTAATGGACACTTTTTGCAATCCTATATTTTCTTTTTGTGGAGTCTTGAATAAATTGATAATTTTGTCTTAGAAGTAAATACCCTTGAAATAAAAATGTTAGGCGAAACAGAGCTTGAAACTATGCATTCTATAAACTACTGAAAACCTACACTAACCATTTTGTTTAAAGCAAGATGTATATAGCTTCGATGTGTTTGATGCACCTGCTAATGTACTGTTACTAATAATCCACTCTTTAAGAGTTGCAATATAGAATCAAGCAATACTTTCTTAATTGTTTCTTTTCCATTTGGTTACAATATGTTAACCATTAAATACTCAATCTATATGAGCACTTAATTTTCCTATGCTTGTTCAAGACATTGCAAATGAAGAAAAATTTCTTAAAATGTTTTTGAAGAAACACTTAATTCTCCATTACTTTCCAATTATGGTCATTAGAGGAAATGCATCTAATTAAGACATAACGGATTGGAACTATTATTTATGTGGGATCCATATGAACTCCACATTGTTACTTAGTTTAAACTAGGCTGGACTTTAACAATTCTGTTTTTATCCTCAGTCAGAGTTCTAACATGTTGAACCAAGCTAGACTGAAAGTACTGAAGGCTAGAGAGGATCACATCAGGGTTTGTACTTTTTGTCTCCCTTGTATAATAGGATAAAACTAGAAGTATAAGACGTTGATTAAAATGAACATGCATCTGTATGTTTAAACACACATTTTACAGAGAGTACATCTTAAGTGGAGATTAAGAATGAAAAGTTAAACGTTCATTAAACATTTAATTGTCTTGCCCAGAGTGGACATTGGTAAGAATAATGTGTAGTTTTATAAATGTGGTATTGTACAGGGAGACTAGATGAATGTATTGTTCTTAATATTCAAATGTTGAAATGTATTGCATTTACTCTTTAGAACATTTAGCCTCTTAATTAGCCAGTGGTAAGTTTATAAAACTACAGAAATGTAACAAAGCGATACCAAGTTAAATCTTCATTATAATTATTACCTTATCTTTCAGTTACTTGTAGATGAATAAGGAAGTCATGTTTCTTTGTTTGGCTGAAACATTGAGTTTATCATGAACTTAATACAAATAAGTACACAACAAATTAAGTTTAATTGAAGTAGAGTTCAGTGATATCACTGAACTTGTTCAAGAAACAGGATATGAACTATTTAGTGTATTTGAATGAATTTTTTGTTAATCGGCAATTAAAACATTCTTTAGAATAATAAAGAATTGTTAACTAATTTTGGTCACACAAGAATGACTTTTTCCACTTCATATGGGAGTTGTGAAAAGATTTGCTCATTATGAATGTCAGTTTTATATTATTTTAGTGTCACAGAATATGCATGTAGTTTTTAATATTTTGTAATGAGAGAGATTGTTTGAATAAATTTTTTTTTTTTCCAAACTCTAATTTTGGTGGTTTTTTATTGCCCACTTTTCTCAGAAGTATTTAGTTTATACATTTTAGGAAAACAATATTTTTTAGAGATGACAGATATTAAAAAACAATATTAAGGTGACTTGTATTAAACACAACAGATGTTTCACTCATGTAGCAGTGAACAAGGACTCAGTTTGAGTCACTTTTGACAGAATTAAATCTAATATATGATATTAAAATTTAAATCGGTTTTAGATTCTTGGTTCCTAAGATCCACTCGAAATTATTTAAAATCTTGCTTGTACTCTGAGAGTAGCTAGCATAATGTATCAATTTTTATGGTTGTAGTTATAAGCATAGTGATGTTACTTTAGCATTATGCATATTATTAATCAAATAAATTATCAGAACCCACTTAAAGATATGTTAGGGTGATTATAATTCTCATATCTTTTGATTTTGTTTTATATTGAGACTTTTTTTTTTCCAAAATACCAAAACAATATTATTAGCTGGCACAAACTACCTAGAGAAAATAACTAAGAAGAAAAGTTGAATTTTATCAAAAACTGTTAAAGAATTAACATTGTTACTTTTTTTTTCAAATAAATTTTAGTAAAATTAAGTCATGATATTGGTCTCATTCTTAAAATCTACCATAAAACCATAATAGTTACTTGGATAAGCATCACAATATATTGTTCAAACTTAATTACACCTTCCACTTTTGTCATTTTGTGAGAAGGTAATAAGGAAACCAGATGGATTGATGCAATTGATAATAATGTTCCATTACAAATTCTGAATATTAATTATTCACTGAAATGAGTTGTAGAAGTAGTCTTGTTAAAGAAAAATAATAACTAATATAACTATTATTATTTCCTGTAGATGTTGGAACAGTAATAAATGCCTTAGTAGAACTACAAGATATTGAGATATTCAACTGGATATTTAGGGTTATTTCCATTCTTGTAATGCAGATCTGTTATTAACCCAGAGACTTATGAATACACAATAAACATTATTTCATAACTAGTAGTTTTTGTTTGTTAGATTGTTTTGGATGAGGCCAGGAGACGTCTAGAAGATTTAACAAGAGACCAGAGTCAGTATCAAAAGATCCTTCACAAATTGATTGTTCAGGTAAAAAACAATATTTTTTGTCATGAAATATTCTTTGGTTAACTACTCTGTGTAAAGCAATAGTTGCAGCTCTTGGATATCTTAAGGACCAAATACCAGTTCTATTTTCTTAAATTTTTACAAGTTTTATTATTCACTTTAACTACCTGTTTGTTTTCAAAACAACTAAAATTTTCTGCACTTCTTAACATTGTTAAGGTGTAGGTAACAAATGTAATTTCTAAAGCATTAGAAACAAATTATATCAAAATCAAATTCAGATTACTTACTAAAAAAATTGTACAAGATAGTATTTCATAAATACGTTACTGGAAGTTTTGAATATTTTATGTATGGCAAACGTACTTTAAGATACTTTTAGTGAATTTTGCAGCTGTTAATTTTTTTTTTGATTTCAGTTGTCAATATCTATGGTTGATACAACCAGAAAGTTTTGCTTGACAGATGATTTTGATAATACAGCTTTTGTAATGATGGTGTGAGCATTAAAAATGTGCATGGTTGTACTCAGTTTACTATGATTAGCTGGCACAAACTATCTAGATAAAATAGCTAAGAAGAAAAGTTGAATTTTATCAAAAACTGTTAAAGAATTAACATTGTTACATTTTTGTATAGTAAACTGTGTGCATAAGAGAACTTACTTTGTATTTTATCTTTCAAAATCTAGGATTAAGATCAAAATGAAAGATTTTAATTGTATATTTTGTTTACACTTGTACTTTTCTGCTCCTGCATAACAATTGAATAGATTGTATGAATCTACATTGCTTACAGTTCTCATGTTTTGTTCACCTTGCAGTAGCATAGACTGAAAAAAGAAGTATTATTCCTATTAGATAACAAATCTTATCCTATGACCAACTACAGTTTTTGGGTTATATCCGCTTCCTTCAGAGAACGATAGAGAATTTTATATGTATTACCTCTAGTAGACAGCTTGTTGTAGATTTTGTTCATATGCATTATAGTGAAAGTGTAAGAAGCTATCTAGCTTTTCAACTAGTTTTAACATTCCTATATCAGTGATAAGAACAATTATACTACAAAACTACAGTTTATAATAGCTCATATGTTTCTTATTATGGCAAAGAAGTTATTTATATGTGATGTGGCCATAGAGCATAAATAAAATTTATGACAGAATAACTTAACAGATTGTGGTTACCATGTTTTTAAGTAAAGGGTGAACCATGTTCATGAAGAGCTACATGTAAGAGAACCAAAGAAATTTGTCTTTGACTTCAATCCAGTGTTATCCAATTGAAATTATACAAACTTAAATCCATTTTTCAGCTAATCACTAACTTCACAATTCTACTAATGGTCTGTAGTTTGCATTTAGTTTCATAGTGAATAAAAACAGTTTGCAATATAATTGGACATTTGTATTTTATAAAATTGATTAAAACCCTATAATCCGAACACTTTCGAAAGGTGGAACTTTCTTCTTCAGGGGCGAACTGGGAATGATGGTGTAATCGATTGAGTGATATATAAAGGGAGTTTAGTGACGTCATGAAGTTCATCTGGTTTTCCAGAAAATGTTTATTCTATTTCATTTCTATCAAGACTTCTTGAACCTATGTATTTTTCTAACATCATGAATGCATCTTATAAAATGCATTCACTAGGTCTTGCAGTTGTAAGAAAATTTATGGTTAATTACCATAAAGTAATTTTAATATTACTGTTATGAAAATTAAGGAGAAATTATTACTAACAGAACTGATATATAGTAAAAGAAAAAATTATCTAATTACATAGTTTTTTTTATAGTTTAGAAATGGTATTGGAAATGTTGGAAACTGCTCAAAATAATGCATTAGTTTACCCTTGACTTTATGCATTATTAATGTTATGTGCATAACATTTAATATTTCCTTTCTTACTATTATCTACAGGCACTGCTACAGATGTTAGAAAAAGAAGTAATCATTTGGTGCCGTCAGCAAGATTTCATAGTAGTTCAGAATAGTGTGACACCAGCTTTAGAGGAATATCGTAAGACTACTGGCATGGACTGCAAAGTTGTTGTAGATCCTGAAAATGTTCTCCCTTCTGACATGTAAGTGCTTAAAGAAGTTCCAGTTTCATTTTTTTATATTGGAACTTGAGAATTAAACATTTATGTTCAGGATTTTTCAGTACCTATGTTCAAGATACATAAAGTGTAGGTTATTAAAAGATCCCCAAAGTATATTGTGATAATCAGTATTTATCACATAAGATTACTCCTATTGCAAAATTTATATATTTACATTGCAAAAAAAGGAATTAAAAATATACATATTTTTATTTTCATAATTTTGTGCCAGAAAAGTGTAGAAATGGTTATACAACAGTTATCTAGTTAACTTTAGGAATAAAAATTCAAAAAATGTTAAACTTTTGTTTTGTACTGTCTCTTTATGACTGCCGTGAGTTACGTGTGTGCATGTATGTTTACCAATAAACTATACTACTGTTATAATATGCTTAGTGTTAGGCATCAGTGGTTGTAGTGTCAATTATATTTAACACCAATATTAAACAAAATCTCTGCTGACAAAGATCATTTTGTCTACTTACTGGTTGACTAGGGATTATTTAGCATAGGTTTCAACATTGCATGATGTGTGCCATCGATCTATGTACAGTGTGTTGCAATTAATGCTTTTTTCCAGAAAATAGTGTAAAATGATTTTACAACATTATACAGTGGTTATCTAGTTACTTTTGTTTTGGTATTGTCTGAAGCCATATCAACTGCCTTTTTTTTTCTTTTTATGACTACCATGGCTTATGTGGGTATTTACTAATGGACTATGATGAGTAAGAGAGAAAATTAGGTATATTAAGTTTATGGAGGGATTATAAGCTATTTGTGGTTGGTTAGATAGATTGAACTTTTGTTAGAGGTGGGTATTGCCAGAAATTTTGTATTGCAAGCTATTGTGATATTTGTAATTGTATTGCAATCTATTGTGACATTTGTAATTGTATTACAAGCTATTGTGATATTTGTAACTGTATTGCACGCTATTGTGATATTTGTAATTGTATTGCAGTCAATTGTGATATTTGTAAAATATTTGCATAATGAGGTCATTTTGTCTACTCACTTATTGGTCATTCAGGGATCGTTTAGCTTAAGTTGCATCATTGGCAGATTATATGATGTATGTCATCAACCTATGTAAAGCTTGATCCACTCAGAAAGTGCCATACAATGTGGATTACTGTTAGAATATAATGCTTAGTGTTAGGGCATTAAGTATTGTTTTGCCAATTATATTTAACAGCAAGATTTTGATAGCTGAGCCTTGATGCTATGATAGGCAAGTTGAAACCACTCCTGTTGTTTGGTGACTGCTTAAGAAAATTATAGCCTAATATAGGGATCATTTAAATATATTGTGCCACAAATTAAATACACTCAGAGTCATTACAAGTTTATCTTACATGAGAAAATAATGTCAACACTGTCTCAAACCTTAAGCTTGTTTATATTTTTTCGTGATTGTATTTTCACATCAAGCTACCTATCTTGTTTCAATAATTTTTGAAGATCCCTATTCTCCCTTTTTGAATTAACAGTTTTTACTAGTATTGTTTCTTTATTTTTATTTTTTGTGTCCATTATGGACATAAATCTGTATAATAACAATAATTTCCTATTTGAAACAGTCTAGTTTAATGAAATACATAGTTGGTGTATGATGCTCTCTTAGGAAACAGTGACAGGCTTTGAATTGGCTTCATGCAGATTGGATGGCTGTTGCTCCTGACATCATTGATAGTGGTACTGCATTTATGATCACTATGATGTATGGTGATCAGCATAACACATGTTATGTATATATGCATGTAAAACCTATATATATCTACTATATTTATACCCTATATGGGGAGTCTGTAAATACTGGATTGGAGGGACTACTGAACTCTACTGGAATGGTGTATGGTCTGGATTTTGTAACTGCAAGAGTTTTATGCATGGATGTACATACAATGCATGTTGGCTAGTGAGTGTATGTATGTGTATATATAAGAAGTATAGCTTCAAAACTATTATATCAATTACATATAACTTCAAAACTCTATTAAAAAAAAACTTCGCACATTCCGGTCATTATCCAAAATTCATAAGAGATTGCCTGTGGTAACAGCACCCAAAAGATGGTTTCTCATCTGCTTTTTGAATTTTGTGTGATAGAAAAGAGAAAGAAAAAAGGTTGCATCATAAGCAAAAATAGTGTGAACTTAATACAGCATATCCAAACCTTAGATGAAAAATAATTAATTGTAATATTACATAGAAAATTAAAGCAAAAAAGAAAATGGAAACAATGCAGCTACAAAACAGACATGTACCACCTGATTACACCATAAGGTGGGTAGTTATGCAATGTGCCCTGAATTTTGACAAAAGTAAGACCCAAATTGCATTGGTGATACACCATCTACCCAGTTTAACCTCAGTTATGCAGGCCTCACATTTTTAATAATAAAATTAAAATAAATAAAAAATAAAGAGCAGATGTGAGTGCTCTAACTTAGTGTTGGTAATTTATATCTTTACTATTTTGAGAATTAATTTATAAATAATTTTTCCAATCCAGAATTATTTTCTCTAACTTATACAAATATTGATGATTTAATTAGCATCAATAATCCATTAATAAGTAATTATATCAGTAATATTTATCCTACAGTTTTACAAACGGAAAACACTTCTATATCAAATACTGAAGTACATTATTTAGATTTAGATATTAAGATAAATAATAATTTCTGTAATCTTAATACTTATGATAAAAGAAATGATTTTAAATTTCAAATTTTTGGACTTCCCTCGCCAAACAGTAGTGTACCAAATAATGCCATACATTCACAGCTACTCAGGTGTTGTAGAATTTGTAACAATGAACAGTTCCTAATTTCCAACATTAATATATTACTGAATAACTTTATTTTTAATGGATTTAATAAGAACTCCAATTAAATATTTTAAATGATTCTGTGATAAATATACAAAATATGTATGTACATTTTAAAATAGTAGTATAACGAAATCATAATAAACACAATAAGTAATAATTTTTGTAAGGGAAATGATTGGAATTACATATTTGGACTGTATCTTGTATAGGTGTATTAATGTAGATGTATCACTTTCCCTACATAAGACCTGCTACTATGTAATTCTTATAGAACATTTGAAGATCTTGACAGTATTGTGGAAGGGTGGAGGATGGGAGCTATACTAACAATTTAGGTTGGGCTTGTATAGTAATACCTTAACGTCATGGTATTTATGTCTAAACATCATTATGTGGGCTGGAATGCCAACTTCAAGGATAGTTTTACTGTCTCTCCCATTGATGTATGTATTCGATTTATTTATTTCTTCTTAAGTTTTTGTTGTTTGTTTTGAGCAACCACCTTCCCACATCTGGCTGGAGGCAGCAAAAGGTGGCAAAGATGTGGGATTTTGTGGGCTAGAGCATTCACATCTTCTGTTTTTTTTCTTTATTATTTATTTATTATTATTATTAAGAATGTGAGGCCTGCGAAACTAAGGTTGAACTGGATAGACGGTGTACCCCAATGCAATTTGGGTCTTACTTCTGCCAGTACCTCAAAAATCAGGGCACATTGCATAAGAACCCACCTTATGGTATGTGCCCAGGTGGTACAACTTCATTTTGTGCTGCATTGTTTCTATTTTCTTTTTGCTTTCATTTGCTATGTAATATTATAATTAATTATATATGCAAGTTGTAAAGCTGTGTATATAGATAGCCATATGAAATTTTCAAGTTGAATAGATGCATGCATATATATATTCAATGCAAGTATAAGACTATGTGTCATAATATAATAGGATATATATACAAGTAAGCATTTTTAATATTTCTTATAGTTATATTCCTTCTCTTCACTGGCCATAATAAGGCCTGTCATGGTTTTGCTGCAAATGGCCAGATTTCCTCTTAGTGACATTCTGCACAACTTACAAGGTCAAAAACATGTTAATTAACAATTATGAACTGATTATATTAATATATCTTTCTCCCCTCCTTTTCTCATGGAGTTTGGGTCACAACATTTCTGTGACTCCAAACTCTGTTGGGCAGTCACTGCTGCATACTTTATCTGAAACTAAATATTTTATAAGTAATATAGTTGCAAACTTTTTGCCTCACTTTTACTTAGAATTGCCATCTCCTGCTTGCATGATTCTTGCCACTTTTTATAGTCAGCTTCAAGGATGGCTACTATATCTGCAGTATCTATAGAACTGGCAACCACACAGTGTTGGCTAAAATTTGACATTTACCATCGGCCACCACCATGATTGCTGATTCGATGCTCAAAACTGAGATTGGTGCTATCTTTTAAACTACAGCTTGAAACTTTCTGTTGTGGCTGAGACATCCTAAATTTTTGTGTATTATTTTAGACATTTGTGTGACATGGCTGAAAAACTGTGATCCTGTCAGCAACCTTGTGTCCGAAAGGACGGGAACCCTATATGTAAACAACTGATACGTGACATCAATACAGTTGCAAAAATAAGTTAATTGCTATGGTTCACATGTCATGTCTGCCATATAAACATTAAATTACATACACGGCTCCCACACAGCTATATACATATGCATGTAGTAGATAATGAGGCTTTACATAAGCCACAGACTACATTAAAATGATTTGGTGTCAATGGTTTTACAGCTGCTGTTTTTTGCTAGGTAGTAAAATGAACTTTAAAACTACCCTACACAATGTGCAATGATGCATTTAGTAATATTTCCCAGGTTATATTACAATACTCGCAGAACAATATTAAATATGGAACAAATGAGCAATCCCTATTATGAACCGTGGTATGTTCATGATAGCACATTGTATTCTCTGTATATGTTATATTATGTTGTAAATTGAGTATTTAAAATAAACAAGAATCCAGTAAAGTACTAACAACAACCTACCAAAAACTATGGTCAACTTTCATTGAGACTTTGAGTGCAAAAGTATTAAATTTCTTTTTTATTTGTTAAAAAAATTTCTCAGTGAGGTATGCATACAAACTGCACGTGTTTCACGAAATTAATTTTTCTTTTACTATAAATTAAACTATGCAGTTTTCAGGTAATTTGTCATTGCATAGCTTAGTTGTTAGATATGGTTCAAAGAACAAGCAATAAAACAACAAAATTAAATAAAAACTGTTACGAGCATGAGGCTGTTAAGGATAAGTAATTGTAATTTTGTTACAATCTGCAGTCACTCAAGAAATAAAAAGAAAGGGTAAGTTAGATTTATGTAGTATTTTTTGTGGTGGCTACAAGGTCAATAAAATCGACCAAACCTGTATAGTTTTAAGTAAAAGAAAATTACAGATAAAGTAAAAAGTTTCACAAAAAAACTATCTATTTAGGAGGTTTTAGAGGTTATGCAGTTATAATTTGAAAACTGTATGATGAAAAGTATTTTTAATCTTGGCATGAAAATCATCTTATACACATATTAGTCAGAGTCTGAATTCATAAATTCACAGAAAAATGTTTAGTAAGAATACCTTGTTAAAAACAAATCTGCTTTTTTTGCATAGAAAATACTTGTTTGCTAAAAGCTTACCAAATTTTGTGAAGATGCACGTACTACATCAAACGTTGTATGTGTGGTTACATGGTGGTTGCAAAGCTGGTCAGAATGGCCAAGCTTGTATAGAGAGGGTTAATAGATTACAGAAGCTAAGACTTGTACAAATATCAAACCAACTTGTATACTTTTTTGAAAAAACACATTTGATATTATTTGGAAAGTCTGTATAAAGTTTCATGCAATTAGATTTAGTAATTGCATTCATTTTTATGATCTTTGGGTGCATCAGATTTATGCTGTAAGAGCTAAATGATGATTACCTTACTGCAGTCATGATCAATGTCATAAATAGTACCACCTAGATTTTTGTGTAGAGCAAGGATGAATGAAATATTTCACGCGAGTTTTTAATCTCATTCTTTTGTGTTTTTATTACTTTAATTCACTCCCTGTTTTTGCCATAAATATAGTCCGAAACCAATGACTTTGTTCTTTTTTGTTTATTTCGTGGTAGCTTTTTCACTTTGTCTTATTCTATGGTTATTTTAGAATTAACTGGAACTTTGGGAAAGATACTTTGTGTTTAATGATGTGGCATTTTTTGTTTCACATAATTTGGTTATTCTATTCCTTGTATCTGCTTTGGTACTGTCTTTGGATATTTATGAAAAATGCCCAAGATCTGTTACCAAATCGTTGTTTGTGAAGATTCTTTTAATTATGCAATCTTGCTACAATTTCCAAGTGCCATGAGAATTTAGTTAGTTCCTATTTATTTAGGTGATATCACTATTTAAGCAGTAATGTAATGTAGTATGACTTAAACTATATTTTTGATATTAATATTTAATGTTACTGTTCTTTGTTTTTTTTTAATGACATACTATAAATGGATGTTAATGTTTTTGTATCAGATTAAGTCTAAGCTTAATATTTTATGTGGACTACAGGAGAACTTAGATTTGTTATAATGCATCATAAGAATAATTTCTTAGAAGTTATAATTTGACTATTGAAAAAAGTATGAAGTGTTAAATTTTAGATTTGTTTCTTGAACTGGTCACTGCAACATGTTCATCAGATGGTTCTAAGTGAGGTCTAAGTTTTTACTTCATTCTTGTAGGTGTGGAGGGGTAGAATTAATTGCTCAAAAAGGAAAAATCAAAATCAGCAACACACTGGAGAAAAGACTGGAAATGATTAGTCAACAGGCAAGTTTAGTAATTTGTTATTATTCATAAAAATATATAGAATCTAAAGTACATGTAGTTTTGGGTGTGAAGTATACAATACTTGTACTTTTTTTTACACCAAATCTATCATATTTTATTCTTATGTAGTAGTTTGAGTTGTTAAAACATGTCTTATCAGCAGACATTAGTGGGATAACCCTTTATCTCAGTTGGTGGAGCACTCACCTGGCATACGACAGATCTTCGATTCAAAGCTAATGCAACAAAATATGTTGCTAAAATTTATTACATTGAAATGAATCAATATTTCAATCACTTTTTGTCTATTTATGAAATTGAACAAAGTTGGGAATGATAATTACTTAATCACAATAAGCTAGAAAATGAAAAACATTAATTACTTATGCTTTAGGCCTCTTAATGGAAGGTAATTAGGCTTAGCATAACTAATAATTGGGAAATACACCAGAAATTGAAGAATTGCAGATATCTAAGGATTAGTTTTTAAGACTTTGAGGGGTAAACAAAATTGTGTTATGAGCTTATTTGCATTGAATGTTTGGAGAATAAGGACTGTAAAACTGCAGTAGTTAATCTGGTGAGTTATAATATTGGCTTATGAGTTGTTTTTTTGTATGTCAGGTACTAGAATTGTTTTTTTTATTATTCCTATTGTTTAAACTGTAACTTAACTCTTTCAGCACGGGCTTGGTCCCTGGGACCAACCTCATAAACATTTTGTGCTTGTTATAGTTTTCATACTATAACTTTTAAATTAGTAAGCGGATGTTAATAAAATTTGGTAGATTATCAATAAACTTTACAATGCTTTCATATACAAAATATCAAATATACTATTAAGTCTTAAGGTTTGTTAAGCACTGTTTTTTTTCTTTTTGCATCTTGCCTATCCAACATGCAAAGTAATTTACATTTTAGGATTACAAATACTTTTATGCATCAGAAAATTTTCAAATTTCACATACAAAATCTTAATAATGTCCAGATAGTTATCAAATGATTCTTAAGAAAAAAACTTTATATTTTATCTGTTTTTTCACTAATGAATCACTGTAGGGGTTCAGTAGATTTGACTGATCTCATAACCACCATAAAAATTTCATAAATTAATATAAATTATGCCTTTTTTGTTCTAGAATAACTACAGATAATAACACGAAAACACAAATGTTTAGACTAAATAGCTTAATTCTCATAACATTATACTATATAAATGTATAATGTTATACATTATATATTTATAAATCTATATATACATGACTTATTATATCTTATATTAATATAGATTTATAATTTTTAGTATATTGACCTTTCAGCCATCCATGGCTAACAATACAGAAGTTACAATAATGCAGTGCATGTGCACTCATGTTACCGTATCTAATTATATAAAACTGACCTTTAGTCTTTACAAAGTGACCTGTCTTGGCTGTGCTTTAATGGACTAGTATTTTGTAAAATAGTCACATTTCAATTATTATACATTATATATGTATATAGATTATTACTATTTACAAATAAGTTCTTGAACTTGTTTTTCTTAAAACATAGAACAGTAAGTAAAGAAGTGAAGCAAACAATTCTCTTCTAATTACGACCTTTGTACTCGGTTGCTGCTTGTCGTAGGTTGCCGAGCCTTATAAAATTTCACACATGGAGGATGTGAAATGAAATAATGTTTTAGGATTTAATAATACATTTGAAATAACCAACAAAATCGGAGTACTATATCGATACCATAAAATTCCACTATAATTTATCAAGTGTAATAACTAATCTGTATTTGGGTCTAAAAAAATATGAAATTTAGAGCAGACTAAAGCCTCACCTTACCAGCTTGAAGATTTATATCGAAAGAATGAGGTGATGTCGTAATATTTTGAAATGGCTGAGAAAGCCACTAGGGGGACATTCTGATCTTTCGATTGGTTATTCACATGTCATAGAAAGAAGTAACTGTATTTAAGGGAGTGTTTCCAAAAATGGAAAGAGGTGAGCAGGGGCCACTATTTGATTCAGTACATGAGCGATATCTTGGCAAGAACAAAAGATAAGAGCTTCTTATTTTGTGTAATAGCTTGTTAATATTGGTAATTTGAGTTCCTAATTTTTACAAAGCTATAGACTTGGTATTTTGACATCATAAACATCAAATTTGAACCAGTGCTGCAATCAGCATACCACATGATACACAAAAATTGATGTTTATCTGTGTTTTTTAATATTTACTTTTAAATTAAGAAATTAAATAATATGTAATACTAAAACTTGAATTATAATCTACAATTTGATACAAAACTTATTGACATAAATTCATAAAATACTTGTTCAATAAAATTTTGAATGCGAGTCAACAAACTCGATGATATGGCCTATGACGTGTGGAAAGGGTTAAAAGGAACTGGATATAGATGTTTGTAAGTACAAGCAGAAATACTAGTGGTGCAAAAGCATCAGCAGAGTAATATATGTTGAATTTTTCATGCAGTTACTCAATAGGAAGTTTTTATCCTTTTAAGAATTTTTTATTGTGGTTTTTGTTTAAGTGAAAATTTGTCTAAATGAGAATGAAACCAACATCTGGGTTGCAAGTCACAAAAACTGGTCATGATATGGGTTTAAATAAATTAAACAGCAAAAATGAACATAAAACGTTGAATTGTAGTACAATAAAATGGCTCAAAAAAGACTAAATGTTTAGGCTATGCTGCCATCATCAAGAGTAAGAATTAAAATTACCTTCAATTTACATAAACCTACATTATACCTTCAGCACCATCTCAACCTAGAATGGATGGGTTTAGTTTCATGTCATGTTTCATTTTGCAAATCTCAGCATTAAAGCTGAGTTTCCTAGTGATTATCATGCCCGACTAAGTCCACAGTTTCATGGTTTGCATCCCATTACTGCTTCACACTGGGCTGTGGATCACTGTAAAGTGATAGTCAGATTTTACTATCCAGTCAGTCAAGAGATATAGTCTATTTTTAATTTGCATGTTAACTGTAAAACAAATAAAGAATATCAAAATTGAAGAAAATGTATGTGGTAAATTTGGTTGGAAAACTGAATCGCTTCAAACTTTCTTTTGGAATAAAAGGAGTATAAAGGTATGTGTATCTACTCACAACACCTTGCCAATATTTTCTGTTTTGTATTTCTTTTTTATATAGTTCCATGGTTATGAGAACATGATTCTCATGTAATATTATTTTATTTTGAGGATTTTTTAGTGATTGCTCATGGGCTGTATATCCAGCTCACAAGTAAATCCAAAGTCCAAAATTTAGGAGAGAAAAAAAAGATTTGAATCCTTTCCTACTGGTATAGTCACAATCTCTGCAAAACACTTAGAACCCAACATGACCATAGATTTGGTACTGTTTGTAGGAGGAAGTAAAAACAGGTAACTTTAGAGCTGCTCTGAATGAAATGCATAATTTTTGAAAGTGACTTTTCATGGATAGCATTGACAAAGCCGTTTTATTTAAATAGCAAACAATAAAATAACTGATTCATCAATGAGACATTTATCATTAAAACCTAAGTTTTTCCAACAGAGAAAACAAACAGAACATCAGTCTTTTCAATTACCTATCATGTATCTTCTATCATTTAACATCATGATCTGTTTAGTTGGTTGCTTTTACAGAATTTAGAAAACTAAAGTAGTGGCAGTGAAGCTGGTTTACGAGTGATCTATACCTTTTAAATGTTTCCAGTGTGAGTGAGTTTTAACTCATCATTTCTTTTCTTTTATTTTTAGCTCTTGCCAGATATAAGAACAGCTCTATTTGGAAACAACCCAAGTCGAAGATTTATGGACTAGTTGGTGCCAATACCAAAAAAATGAATATTTTTATAGTAATTTCAGCAACTGCCTCATGCTGTTATAAATGAATGGAAATACTGTTATTGATTAAGTTTGTTTTATCATGTGATGTCATCTTTATCATACGATTCTAGATAATTGTATTGTAAAGATGTGCACTGAATCTTTCTAACTTAGCTTTCTGTTTTTAATGTTTAAAAACATATTGCCAAAGGCTTGAGTACAAAACTAATACTTTTGTTACATTGTTATAGTTTGATAAAATATAGTTAATTTTATTGATAAACTTGCAAGTAAGAGAGGAAGCCCAAACAATACACAACTTTCATTTTTATTTGAGATTTTAAGATATATTTAAATAAAAATGTTACTACTTGAAAAATTCCAAGATTTATGAAACCTTTTAGTACATAATAATAATTTCATATTACAAATTAATAAAGCATTTTAGGAGCTGTGCATGATATATTTTGTAATATTTGTGGATATAGAAATTGTGTACAGTTTATATCTTCTTACATACAATGTATTTTATTATAAACTTTACAGCTTGATTTTCTTTTCTTGAAGTTGGGGTAAATTTTTGTATAGTTGAGATACACCCGATTGTCTGAATGTTTTATGATTAAGCAAAATATTGAACTTATCCCAAAAAGCCAATCAAACTGGATACTGAAGAGAATCATTAAGAATTTATTAGCTGTTCAAAATTAAACTTTTTAAGGTGCTTTCAAATTTAGGTAGTTGGGTATAGAATTAAATCTTTAGATGTGCATTAATGCTTGTCATTGAACTTTGCAATAATTTGAAATGTAATTACATATAGAAAGAAATAGCAACAAAAAAAAGAAGTTAGAAGACTTAACCAATTCACATAGTAAACCATCTAAAACCATTTCTAAGTAACTAGAAACTAATAGAACACTGTAATTTTTAAACACCTAAAATTGAAGAGAAAGTGTTTAATATGTAATATTTTGGAATATGTTTAAGCCAGTGGTTCCTAACCTTTTCACCACCATGGACCCCTTTTATTATAATTTTTTTTCATCATGGACCCCATGTTTTTGAAAGATTCTGTCTACCCAACAAACTGCTTGTATTAGGTAATAATTAGTTTTCCCATTTTTCACAATCAAATAAAAGACGTATATAACGAGCGTGCAACTAAAAAAAACAGCAGTATTAAAAAACTTACTTGTTTAATGAGATGGTATAACCTTTGTGGATCCCAATGTTGGGAACCACTGGTATAGGGTGTTATCACATGATGTATATTCTTAATACACAAAATCAAATATAACAATGGTTTTGAATGCTGCAATGGTATTGTTTAACAAATATGTAAACAGAACAGCTCAATGTGTATATGTGTGTGTGTATATATATATATATATATATATATAT